TACCTAGCCATTCGGTCCCTAGTCTGTAGCAGTGCATGGGATTCTTCCGTCCTAAGTGCAGGACTCTGCACTTGTCCTTGTTGAACCTCATCAGGTTTTTTTCTGCCCAATCCATTCGGTAGGTTCTTGCTTAGTACAGGTGAATGAATATTCAATAAGTTGGGGGGAAATATATCTTACATTCAGAATTCAGCCAGGTCCTTGTTTTTCCTTCCAGTCTGACTCAGCTTTCAACTCAGAGGTAGCTCTCCCCTATGCTGCTTCGCCCACCTGGGTGATGGCTTTCAAATATGTCAGGGGTGTGTGCACTGCAGCTCTGATCCAAAGTCCATAGACTCAAGAAGAGTCCTTCCCCTGACTTCCCTGGGCTTTGATCAGAAACAAGGTGGACCTCCCCATCTTGGTGGGATAATATGCATGACTGGAATATTGGTATAGAAGGGTACAGCTTGCTCAGGAAGGATAGGCAAAGAAAAAAGGAAGGAGGCATTGCCTTATATATTGAAAATGTATACAGTTGGACTGAGGTTGAGATAGAAATAAGAGACAGACTTGTTGAAAGTCTCTTGGTAAGGATAAAAGGGGTAAAAACCAAGGGTGATGTCATGGTAGGGGTCTACTGCAAACCACCAAACCAGGAAGAAGAGGTGGATGAGGCTTTTTTTAAACAACTAACAAAATCATCCAAAGCACAGGACTTGGTGATGATGGGGAACTTCAACTACCCAGACATCTGTTGGGAAAATAACACAGCAGGGCACAGATTATCCAACAAGTTCTTGGAATGTATTGGAGACAATTTTTTATTTCAGAAGGTGGAGAAAGCTACTGGGGGGAGGCTGTTCTAGATTTGATTTTGACAATAGGGAAGAACTGGTTGAGAATTTGAAAGTGGAAGGCAACTTGGGTGAAAGTGATCATGAAATGGTAGAGTTCATGATTGTAAGAAATGGTAGGAGGGAGAACAGCACAATAAAGACAATGGATTTCAAGAAGGCAGATGTTAGCAAACTCAGGGAGTTGGTAGGTAAAATCCTATGGGAAGCAAGTCTAAGGGGAAAAACAATTGAAGATACTTCGCAGTTTTTCAAAGTGACATTATTAAGGGCACAAGAGCAAACTATCCCACTGCGTAGGAAAGATAGGAAGTATGGCAAGAGACCACCTTGGCTTAACCAGGAGATCTTCAATGATCTAAAACTCAAAAAAGAGTCCTACAAAAAGTGAAAACTCGGCCAAATTACAAAGGATGAATAGAAACAAATAACACAAGTATGTAGGGACAAAATTAAAAAGGCCAAGGCATAAAACAAGATCAAACTAGCTAGGGACATAAAGGGTAGCAAGAAAACATTCTACAGATACATTAGAAGCAAGAGGAAGACCAAGGACAGAGTAGGCCTGTTACTCAATGAGGGAGGAAAGACAATAACAGAAAATGTGGAAATAGCAAAGGTGCTTAATGACTTCTTTATTTTGGTTTTCATCAAGAAGGTTGGTGGCGATTGGACGTCTAACATAGTGAATGTCAATGAAAATGAGGTAGGATCAAAGTCTACAATAGGGAAAGAACAAGTCAAAAATTACTTAGACAAGTTAGATGTCTTCAAATCACCAGGGCCTGTTGAAATGCATCCTAGAATACTCAAGGAGCTGACTGAGGAACTATCTGAGTCATTAGCAATTATCTTTGAAAAGTCATAGAAGATGGGAGACATTCCAGAAGACCGGAAAAGGGCAAATGTAGTGCCCATCTATAAAAAGGGAAATAAGGACAACCTGGGGAATTACAGGCCAGTCTGCTTAACTTCTGTACCGGGAAAGATAATGGAGCAAATAATTAAGAAATCAATTTGCAAACACCTAGAAGATAATGAGGTGATAAGTAACAGTCAGCATGGATTTGTCAAGAACAAATCATGTCAAACCAATCTGATAGCTTTCTTTGACAGGGTAACAAGCCTTGTGGATGGAGGGAAGGATGGATGTGGTATATCTTGACTTTATTAAAGCTTTTGATACTGTCTCGCATGACCTTCTCATAAACAAACTAGGGAAATACAACCTAGATGGAGCTAGTATAAGGTGGGTGCATAACTGGTTGGAAAATCTTTCCCAGAGAGTGGTTATCAGTGGTTCACAGTCATGCTGGAAGGGTAGAACGAGTGGGGTCCCGCAGGAATCGGTTCTGGGTCCACTCTGTTCAATATCTTCATCAGTGATTTAGATAATAGCATAGAGAGTACACTTATAAAGTTTGCAAATGATACCAAGCTGGGAGGGGTTGCAAGTGCTTTGGAGGATAGGATTGTGACGGGTTGAATCACAGAAACCCCTTTGGGACTGCCACCTGATGTGCTTAGACTACCTCTGAGCCTGTTTTCCCTGCCAGCTTGGGACTTCAGTCCCCTGCCTGGTTTGAGCCAGACACACTAGCCTGCTACAAACACAGACCCAGGTCTGAACTATGTCCCCCAAAAGCTGTAAGTTTAATTGAAAACAGCTTAAGAAGGCTCCTGTCTCCAGCACTCAGATACCCAACTCCCAAAGGGATCCAAACCCCAAATAAATCTGTTTTACCCTGTATAAAGCTTATACTGGGTAAACTCATAAATTGTTCACCCTCTATAACACTGATAGAGACAGATGCACAGTTGTTTGCTTCCCTCCCGTGTATTAATACATACTCTGGGTTAATTAATAAGTAAAAAGTGATTTTATTAAATACAAAAAGTAGGGTTTAAATGGTTTCACGTAATAACAGATAGAACAAAGTGAATTACCAAGCAAAATAAAATAAAACACGCAAGTCTAATACAGTAAGAACGTGATTACAGATGAAATCTCACCTTCAGGGATGTTCCAGTAAGCTTCTTTTACAGACTAGCCTCCTTCTAGTCTGGGTCCAGCAATCACTGACACCCCTGTAGTTACTGTCCTTTTTTCCAGTTTCTTTCAGGTACCCTTTGGAGGAGGAGAGGCTACCTCTTGAGCCAGCTGAAGACAAAATTGAGGAGTCTCCCAGGACTTCATATAGTTTCTCTCTTGGGGTGGAAACCCCTCCCTCCCCCTGTGTAGAATCCCAGCTACAAGATGGAGTCTTGGAGTCACATGGGCAAGTCACATGTCCACGCATGACTTAGTTCTTTACAGGGATATTCCCAGGAAAGCTCAGATGTGGATTGGCATCTATCAAGGTCCATTGTTCGCCAGATACTTCCATTTACTTGAATAACCCCTTCACGCTATGTTGATCAAATCTTCGTTAGGTGCTTTCTACAGCAAACACTTTAAATACAAGCATAGAGCCAACGCTCATAACTTCAGATATAAAAATGATACATGCAAACGAATAGGATGAATACATGCAGTAGAACATAAACTTTGCAAAGATGTGTTACATGGCATATCTAGCATAAAACATATTCCAGTTATGTCATATTTACATTCATAAGCATATTTCTATAAAGCATTATGGGGTGCAACATCACAAGGATTAAAATTCAAAATGATGTGGAAAAACTGGAGAAATGGTCTGAAGTAAATAGGATGAAATTCAATAAGGACAAATGCAAAGTACTCCACTTAGGAAGAAACAATCAGTTGCACACATACAAAATGGGAAATGACTGCCTAGGAAGGAGTACAGCGGAAAGGGATCTGGGGGTCATAGTGAATCACAAGCTAAATATGAGTCAACAGTGTAACACTGTTGCAAAAAAAAGCAAACATCATTCTGGGATGTATTAGCAGAAGTATTGTAAGCAAGACATGAGAAGTAATTCTTCCGCCTTATTCCACGCTGATTAGGCCTCAACTGGAGTATTGTGTCCAGTCCTGGGTACCACATTTCAGGAAAGATGTGGACAAATTGGAGAAAGTCCAGAGAAGAGCAACAAAAATGATTAAAGGTCTAGAAAACATGATCTATGAGGGAAGATTGAAAAAATTGGTTTTGTTTAGTCTGGAGAAGAGAAGACTGAGAGGGGACATAACAGTTTTCAAGTACATAAAAGGTTGTTACAAGGAGGTAGATTGTTCTTAACCTCTGAGGATAGGACAAGAAGCAAATGGGCTTAAATTGCAGCAAGGGCGGGTTAGGCTGGACATTAGGAAAAACTTCCTAATTGTCAGAGTGGTTAAGCACTAGAATAAATTGCCTAGGGAGGTTGCGGAATCTCCATCGTTGGGGATTTTTAAGAGCAGGTTGGACAGGGATGGTCTAGATCAGTGGTTCTTAACCTTTAGCCTGCACCCTTTTGGTTCTCAAAAATATGTTCTGGCACCCCTTATCAAAAATTGTTGAAGTAGGTCAGTTCTTTAAACCTAGATATATCATAACTATAGAATGAAAGAGAGAGAATTATATATTAAATTTTAACTGTGAAATTAAAATAAACGCAGTAATCGTTATAAAAATGTAGAATGTTAATAAATACATAGGTTTGATGAAACAAAGTAGTTGTACTTACGTGCCTGTGCTTAATGTGTGTTTTTGATGATTTACCTTCTAAAAAAGTCTGGCATGTCTCGCACCCCCAGAAAGGGCATCGTGCACCCCAGGTTAAGATAATACTTAGTCCTGCCTTGAGTGCAGCGGACTGGACTAGATGACCTCTCGCTCGAGGTGGTCATCCAATTCTATGATTCTATGATCTTGAAACAACCCTCCATAGCCAGGTCTCCACAGTTAGCTGGAGCAGTTCTGAGCCTCACAGTTGCCCTTCTAGCAGACTCTTGTTAGATATGCAAGGAGTGTGCAGCTAGATTTTGACCCACATTGAATGAACAAGCACCCTTAACCCATTTAGTTCATTCTGACCAACTCTTCTAGGAAATCCCAGCACCACTCACTGCTTTTGGTTGTGCAAGTGAACTCACCCATCAAGCATCCCTCTCTGCTCAAGAACCCTCCTGGCCCTGGACCACCACCCAATGGACCCACCAGCTTCTTTAAACTGGACTGGAGTTTATCAGAAAGGGGGCCAGCTTTAAAAAAGTAACATTATATGGCGGGACTGGGTGTGGGGATACTAAAGCCAATAGAGATGCTTTGTGTTTGCTCACTTGCCTGCTTGTGAGACTTTAAAAGGCATTTTAAAAAATATTCACCTACAGGGCACAAAGGGAGAAAGGGATCCCAGGAGATGAGTCTCACAGGCGCGGAGCGTAATGAAACATGCAGCAAACATGCAGGGATGCAGCATGACACCCCTGGTCAGACTGAGGGAAGTACTGTAGGAATGAACGCACTGAGCTCCGGCTGCAGGGAGCAGGAAGAAATATGGACAGGGCAGCCAGTTTGCAGGAGGGTGCAGTTGTGTGGAGGGGGATGGAGGACCAGGGATCTGTTGGAAACTAATGCGAACAAAAGAGAGGCTAAGGAAGCAATGAGGTGTGTGGTGGGGGAAGGGAGGAGGCAAAAGGCCTTTCCTTGCAGGCTCGCATGTCAGGTGAAAGGAGGCAGAGGTGATGGGCGCTGCAGTGTGGTGTAGCTGAATGAAAGCGCTCGTGCTGCAGAAGAATCAAGGCCACCGCCGTGGGGAGAAGGCAGAGAACAAGCCCAGGGCTGGGTTGGGTATAGCAGGGGACGCAGGTTTGTGATCCCAGAGTTATGCATGGGATCTTTGGTGGGGCGTGTTAATACCGCTCCAAACAGCAAATCCCTCGTGCAGCGCTGAGAGCCGCGGGCCTCGGGGCAGGCGGGAACAACTCACACAAACAGGCTGGAGCTGTGCTGTGCTCGGACCAAGGCGGCCCAGAATATTCTCGGGTCACTCGCGGCTGGCTGGCCCCGTGCATGGAGAGACGCTAGCAGGACACTGGGATTTCTGGGCGTGGGGAAGATTCCCGCGCACTGCACTCCAGGCAAACAGGAGCTGTGGCTTGTTTATCCAGGTGGCGACACATGCAGAAGGTTGTTTTTAAAACCAGGGAGTCTGCCCAAGAGCGACACCCCTCCTGCTTGTCAGCCAGCGGCCCGAGCAGGACCGTGACGGTCCGTCTCAGGGAAGCCCAGGGTGGGCTTTGGAAAGGACGCTCCGAAGTTGGCAGGGACTCGCTCCACTGCAGACTCCGGGGCTGCACACGCTGAGGCGATGCACTGACAGGGCGGGGAGGCTGCACCCTCCGAAGGGAAAAGAGACCCTGGTTGCCTGCAAAGCAACCTCCCCAGCTCCGAGAACGGCCTGTGTTGTCCTGGCTTTTGATCCCGGCGGCTGTATTGGATTGCCAGGCGGAGTTCTCACGCCGGTTGGTGGGAGGCACTTTACCTAAATGCGGCTTCTGGCGTTGGCTGATAAAGTGACCATGCTTGCAACGCCAAGGGACTGCGAGTGACTTACACACACACTCCCCACCCCCTCCCCCTCCCCTCTTCATTCGGATTGTGGCGGCGGGTGCGTGTGTGGGGACCCGGCTCTGAGGCGTGTAGATTCTGCACGGAGCAGGACGCTGCTTTGGCGATGGGGAGAAACCTGCAGTCCCAGGGCTTTCTTACTGGTAAAATCCGACTGTCCTACTGGGAGAAGGAACTTGGAAACCCTGCGGCCCCCGGGTTTATTTGAGGTGAGGGGGGCTGGGAGACAGGAATGGCAAAGAATGTCTTCGGAGGTGGAAACAGAACCAGCCGCTGAAACAACTTCGAGCAGCCCAGAGGGAGGAACAGCAGCACCTGCAGATGTTCGAGAGGAGGTGAGCAACCCAGGGCACATCTGGGCGGGGCAGGGGTTATCGTTGGTGTACCTGTGTGCAGTGTGTGGATATATATGCGTGTGTGTGACAGCCCCAGCTGGGCAGACGGAGACACACGTATGCATTGTATACAAACCCAAGAGAAAAAGTGATCGGTAATTGGTCTTGGTTCCTGAACTCGGCGGGAAAACCCGGACTCCGGGCAGGGCTCGATCACTTGCGGGGTTTGGTGTTTCTTCGTCCGAATTGGATTAAACAAATGAAATGGCGAGTGGAAATAGGGGGGAGTTTCAGTGCAAGAAAAACAGTCTCAGGGAGCTGCCGCTGCTTAAGTCTAGCCAGATAGACGGGCATTTGGGGATCTGTGTGTGGTTTGTAATGCAAAGGAGAGAAAAAATAAGTGATTGTAATGCAGCCTCGCTGGGCTTCTTGCAGCCCCTTTACTGAAGCAGTAACCAGTCAGCCGGTATCAGTGAAGAAGCCGGTGCAGGGAGATTTAATCCCACCCTACACAGTAGAGAATATCCTCCCATGCCCCCAGCAGGCTCCGGGAGCTCTCCACGGTGCTGGGGTTCTCCCCATGACAGCATCGGATTTACCCTCCACCACACCCTGCAGGACCAGAGAGCTGAGGAAGGGGCTGTGCTTTCCCCACCACCCGCCCCAAAAGACAAGGCAAGATCACCCACTGCTCCTTTGCAGACCCAAGCACCAGGTCCCGAGAAGGGATTGGAGTCTCGCCCTGCTTCTCCTGTAAGGGAGTCACAAGAAGGGCTCTGCAGTTGTCTGGCTGACATTACAATTTCTTTCTTTCCTAACCATTGGCTGCTGCAGATTTATAGACTGTCCTGAAAAAATCACTGTCTCCAGACAGAATCACGAAACTGTCTCCAGACGTTTCAGTGCCTCTTGCTGTGATCTCTCTGAAACATGGATACCCCGCAGAACAAGCACTGGTTAACTTTAATGCCTGCTGACCCTAATCACTAACATTTGCATTTTTAATGGGCCTCTACACAATTACAATATATGGCACCTTTAGGCAAGTACTAAAACTATGAGTGTTCTAAAAAATTCCTAAAGATCAAACAATATCAAAATCCATACTCATACGACACTCTCACATGATTATTGTTATAACATTACAGTGATGCAATATAATGTACTGGGTATGGGGAATGCAAACCAGAAAGTTTCAGATAGAAACATTTAAGCTTTGTGTTTAAATATCTAACAATGTAATATAGAACCAAATCCTGAAGTCCTTATTATGGCAAAACTCACCGAATTCAATGGGAATTTTGCCTAAGTAAGGATTTCAGGATTTGGCCTACAAAAACACACTTCACACACACCCACACCTTTTTCAACTTCCAAGCAACAATCCAATTGGCTGAGGCCTCAAGTGACTTAAAATAGCTTTGTACTATTGGCCTCCAAGATGATCACCTCTAATCAACTTGTGTTGTCTATTTGAAGGTTGACATAAAACATATTGACCCATAACCCATTGGCTGAGACAGAGTCACATGACTCAATGATTGTAAATATAAGCACCAGCGCATCATCCTATGTTAGAATACATTTAGAGCAAAGAGATAGTTAAGCTTTTTGTCACACTTAGTGCAGCATTTGGTGTATACTTCTTTGCTCTTCTGCAGTTTCATAGGCTTGTCATCCCCATTATGGGACATAAATCATAGGAGGGCGAGGAAGTTTTAAAATAATATGAAGTTAACAACAAATTTAAATGCTACCCCCTCCCCAAAGGAAATGAATATGAGGGGCATACACTATCAATCAAGGAACATTTCCACTCTTATTCAGGATAGCTGGGGCTCTGTCCCTGATTCAGAGGGCCACATGATCTTGTAAGTTTAAATAGAGCAGCCTCAGCAAACCCCACATTAAGCTCAGGTATATTTAGAGTAAACCACCACCAACAAAAATTTCTAAAGAGTATAAAACTGACCTTTCAGCTTAGGTTGAAAAAGTTACTACAGGACAATAATGTCATCAGTCAGTGACTTCAAGTATTTTATCCCCATAGTCAGTCACTTTTCAACTTCTGAGGCATAGTTCACAACTTTAAACTTCAACTATTATCATTCTACAATTGCTGATATCACTGGAACTCCCCAATGTAATTACAGCCTAATAGGAGATCAATAACTGGGTAGAGCTGGGAAGGAATTCTTGATTTAGCCAGTCTGTGCTCCTAAACCACAGAGGGTTTTCACTGTATTAATCCCATCACAAAAATGTCTAGACTCTTACTGGACATTTCTGAAGATCAGAGTACTTGATCTCCACACTTACATCATGCTTAAATGATCCCCACTCTTAAATTTTTCCTCTGGTCCAATACAAACATTCAGTGTTTAATTTTACAGTAACTCATTGTTTCATTATTTTAGCCTTATGTAATGAGTCCTTTCCTCCCCCTTCTGCCTGCACAGACAGTTTCTGTGTAATGTTCTTAGGTCCCCCACAGCCCCTTAAGTGTCTGGTATAACATGTGTGCTTATCTATTATTCACACAATTTGTGTGTTCTGGTTTCTTTATAAATCATGGAAGAAAAGCTTAACAGTGACTAGAAAAGCTTTTAATTGAAAAGACAAAACAAAACTGGTAAGTTCCCAAGCTAGTAATAGATGTTTGAAACAGCGGAGTCTAAACAAATACAATTTAAAACAGAGCCTTTGAAGAACAATTTGTTTTCAGATACCTACTATGACCCTGATCCTGCATTATTTAAGTCAGTGGAGCTTCACCATTGACTTCAATGAGTGTAGAAAGAAGCCCTAGGATTTAAGACCAATGTTCTGTGGTTTACCTGCATGGTATTGACAATTAAAGCAAGACCTAGAGCTGGCGCTCTGCATTGTTTAGTAACGCCAACAGCTGTTGCAAAAGAAACACAGACTCGTTAACAAAGGTTTTGGTAGGGAAGGGAAGGAGAAATGATTTTCCAGGTATTTCAGAAGGTGTTTCCATATCTACATGGATTCTCCAGAAATATTTTCCTTCTCATTTACCTTCTTTCTTGACTGCCTTTCCTGCTCTAACCCACCCTCCTCCATTGTTATGTTTTTAACTGCTGGCTGGCCAGGTTTCCCAGATTGGAAATTACTGTGAGATCCAGACCCATACCTTGTGCAAATCAATGTATTTCCATTGATTTCAATGTAGCAATGCCAATTTACACCAGATCAGGATTTGGCCTTAAATATCTTAATTTTAAAAGCTTAATTGGAAGTTTTATTTTAGCCAATTAAACTTCATGAATAAAAAGTCATTTATAACCTTCCATAGCTAAATAATTGCCAAGGAATCAGGATACCAGCGGGTAACTGGCATTTTGAAATATTTGTCTCATCCATTTCTGCAGATTTAAATAGTGCTTGTCCGTTGCTGCTTTTAACTTGTCCTTTGTATTAAAAAACTTTAATTGAGTGTGATACAATATAATCAGTTAAGCTCTCCAGGTGACAGAGAAAACTACAAGAAGCCATGGGCAGACATTACTGAAATCCACAGACTCGAGTCTGTGTGACATGATCATAACATTACAGATAAGAGACCTTTTAAGTCATCTCATCCATCTCCAGTTGCCAGTGCAGGCACATGGAGAGCTTATTTCTTATATCATCAAAGAGTGCCATTTAGTATTGCTGCCTTTAAAAATACGGTATTGCAACTTTTTAAAAGATTGCTTATTTGTGAGCTTCTGTCTCTCTCTAGAGCAGCCAGCATGTTGCGTGACTCTTTTCTCTCACACACACAAAAGGCCATACAACACAATGCATTTTCCATTTTGGGGTTTATTTTAATCACAGAATCCTGATTTTACCCCCCTCTCTGACATAAGTCTAGGCATCTCAAATGCACTTATAATATTCATTTGTCCACTCTCTCCCTGTCATATCATAGTCACTTGTGTATCACTGTTTGCATGAAGTTCTGAATTCCTAATTTATGCCATTTAATAAATTTTAGGTTGAATGCCCTAAATTTTCAGTCATGTATAGTGTTATTGTTAACAATTCCATTTCACAGCCTTGGAAATGCTAAGAATTGGATCAACTTCCTTTACCTTTCTTCATGACTTAGATTTAGACCTAACATTCTCATGTTCTAAATTGTACCCTGTTTATGGACTGAATCATAATCAAGGAAAGGTGACAAGAGGCCCAGGAAATTCATGGCATTTTCATCAAATCTTCCCTTTCAGAGAAAGGTTTATGGGCCTTGTAGTGTAAACAGGGAGTACAGCCCCCCAACACTGTAGATCTCCAGAATATGCAGGGATGGGAACCCCCTTAGTCCCATAGAGGGACATTTCCTCCATGCTCCCCTCTTGTCCTCCTCCTTCTAAAGGAAGGAGCTGTGCTATATTCTCTCCTTTCTCTGCTCAGTAGAAACAATGCTGAGGGAGGGGGGAAGACTCACACTGCTCCCAATCAGATATCATGAGGGTCAGTAGGTGACAATCTTGCAGAGAGCAGTTGGTATCTTTCTCATCCTTGCCCCCTCCAAAATTCCATGAAGCACCATCCCCACAGAGTTCTGGCAGAGGAGCTTTTGGGGGTTCCCAGATCAGGGGCAGAGGGTGATGACACCAGAGAAGCACCATTCCCTCCCTGGCCCCTTCTGAATCCCACTGGCAAGATCTACCAAAGTAACATCCAAGATACCAGCAAGGGCCTCACCAGAGCGTCATACAGCAACAGCATCGCCCTTTGTTTCATATTCTATCCCTTTGCTAATGTGTTCTAGTAACTGGTTCATTTTTGTTTTATTTATATAAACACAGCTACTACAGACTAGGCTGATATTTCCACCTCTCCAATTCCCTTACCTGATTGCTTTGCCAGAAGACTGTCCCATGTTAGCACATAATCCTTAGACTGCTGCTTTGATCATATACTAATTCTACATTTTCCGACAATTAAGTGTATTTGCCACCTGCTGGCCCAATCACCTCACTCATCCAAAC